GTTTCTTTATGAAATTTTGTGTCTCCTGTGCAGAACTGTCCAACAGCACCTTTGAATGAAGATTTCTTTAAGGCCATGTCAGATATGAACCTTGCCAGTGGTAGTGATGGGGAGCTGGACTTTCTACCATTAATGCAAGGCATGATGCAGAACTTACTGTCTAAGGATGTTCTTTATCCTGCCTTGAAAGACTTGAAAGAAAAGGTACATGTACATGTAGTGATTGGAGAAACATATTAACCATTAACTAAAGACTTTAAACTCACATTGGGTAGCCTAGTTGAGGGGGGTGAATAGGTTTTCGGATCGACAGATTTGACCTTAAAAAGTGCGCCGATTGTGGATTTTTGCAGTAAATCGAGCGGATTTGTGGATTTTGAAAACACAGTGGATCAGCTGTGAATTTTGGCGCCGATTCCGGATTGTGCCTGCCTTGATGTTCGGATCTTGGGTCCTAAACGAAATTTGGATCATAGATATTTCTTCAGCCTTGGTTGGTATGTTAATGAGTTCATCCAAATTATTTCTTTTTTTTGAATGAAGCTCATTAAAACTGTACTGTGCCGGAATTGTACTGTGTTATAGTCAGCAAGCATATTTGTGTGAAATTAACAATGACATTCACATTTACCAGTTTACTTTTGAACTTTTACACTTCTGTTTCCAGATGTGGTTGTGGTTTTGGATTTGAACGAAAATATTGACAGATCGACGGATTTGGCGAAAAAAAGGCACAGATCGGCGGATTTGCATACCCCTATTCACCCCCCTCCTAGTTGTCATGATTAATTATAAGCATCTGTGAGATCATGGGTTTGAATCCCAGCTGGGTCTGATCTATGTCAGGTGTTAAAATATTAACACCTGGTTAACTGGTAATTAAGACTATGCTAGCCTAGCTGTACATAAAAGAGCTTTGTCTCGGCTCAGATAAGTAAACACATTCTTGAGCAGTAAATCTCGCCAGTAGCCTTGTAGTCATCAACTCGTAAGTGTGCATTAGGACCATAGTATCATGTACTGCCATAGCATGTCACAGTTTCTGTACACTGCACTCTCCCCTAAATGAAATGCTCACAGCAAGAAATATTTATTCAAAAAAATATATATATTTCAGTATCCATCAATTTTTTCATCCGGGGAGAGAGAGGTATAGTGACTTGGCCAAGAATGCAATGTTACAATTTATTTTATTATATTTCATCATTACAATGATCCCAGCCAAAGTTCTTCTGGAACGCATTTCTTAAAACCACCTCCTTGAAGCAGGAATGTTATTCAGGCTGTTGGTCTTGGCTACCTTTCCTCAACTTTGTTATTCAATGACTCAAAGAGGGCATTCAAATACCTAGAACATTGTGTGTTATGAGTACCTACATGTAGACAAGACAGTCTTATTTAATCACTCCAAGGGTGTGGTCTAAGAAAAATTTCAAGGAACCCAAAGGTTCCTAACCATGAAATCCTGGGTGCTCAGCACTTGAGCTTACAATATATGAAAAAAGTGAATTTTTCCAGTTGTCCAAAGGCAAAAGTTAGTAACCTGTGGCACCCGGGTGCTTCTAAAGCACAGCCCTGCACTCTGTAGGCATGGGTCAGGTGAGCATTGTGACTAACAATGGCAGCCACAGTTGCCCTTACTGACATCCATTAGCAATCATTAACTGTTTCAGAAATGGTCATTAAGTTTATGATACAATGACAATTGTGAAATGTTCTTGTTGCTTTAGTATCCAGCATGGTTGGAAGAAAATAGAGCCTCATTGCCATCAGACGAACTTGACCGTTGTAGAAAACAGTACGATCTGGTGTGTGAAGTTTGTTCAGAGTATGATGCTGAAACTTCAGTTGATTCTGATGAAGTCAAGAAAAAGCGATTCGAGAAACTTCTTAGTCTTATGCAACAGGTACCTGCCATTAAGGCTGCTAAAAATGATTGCTTAAAGGAGCTACGTCACGGTTTACGCATCTTGAAAAGTTTAGCCTAATTTTTTTAGTTCGTCATTTGTAATCCGTGTAAATCTTCTCCTTCTTAACCACCCTTGTTCCTTTATGGTTTATTATTATCACTTTACTGTTTTTCTATCTTAGTTAAACTACTATTTTCAGGATTCCTTCATTTTTAAGGTAATTCTGTATGTGGCCAAAAGAACTCAAAATGTCATGACTGACCTCTTTTAATCTGTGGGTCCTCTGTGTGCTGTTGTACCAAAGTACAGTAACATTTGCGTCAAGCCAGTGACCCAAACAGATGGAGCTTATCCCGGTTTCTGTATCATGAAGCAACTAGGTGCATTTCTACTCCCCCCTGGATGACATGCTAGTCCATTTATACACTCTCTGGTGGAGAGAGGCACTGTGAGAGTAAAGTGTCTTGCATAAGAACACAACGTAATGTCCCCAGCCAAGGGTTGAACCTGAACTGCCTGATCCGTAGTCTCCTTCGCAGCCGTTTTTTGGGATGTCATGCAACGCTCCCCCCAACGCAATGCTCCTCCTTTGGGGGGAGCGTTGCGTGACATCCCAAAAAACGGCTGCGAAGGAGACTACCAGATCCGAAGACTAGCATGTTAACCATTAGAACACTGCACTTTATAACCCTTGATTGGGCATTCTTTTTGTACTATCAGGATTTTGCTATATTTAGGGGTATGTTAATGATTAGATTTTATTTGATATATGGTGTGTAGTGCTAAAATTGGAGTTCGAGAACTGGTCTCTGAATCTTGAAAAGTTTGAATCAAGTGTTGGTCTTAAATAATTTTTAGTTACAATCTGCTGTCAGATTTACAATCTTGACACTGAAGCCTTATTTCTGCAGTTTATCAAGTCAAATTGTTTTATTTATATATACAAAAAAGTCACATAAATGCTATTATTATGTAACCAGCCAGACATACTTCTCATTTTGGACAAATTTGTTAAACTTTTAGATGCAAGAATGTGGACAACCACCAGCAGATCTTGTTGGAGAAATGGTAAATTATATGTAACCTGTCACTCACTTNTTTATGGTTTATTATTATCACTTTACTGTTTTTCTATCTTAGTTAAACTACTATTTTCAGGATTCCTTCAATTTTAAGGTAATTCTGTAAGCAGCCAAAAGAACTCAAAATATCGTGACTGACCTCTGTTAATCTGTGAGTCCTCTGTGTGCTGTTGTGCCAAAGTACAGTAACATTTGCATCAGGCCAGTGACTCAAACAGATGGAGCTTATCCCAGTTTCTGTATCATGAAGCAACTAGGTGCATTTCTACTCCCCCCTGGATAAGATGCTAGTCCATTACAGGGTTACCGGGCCCAGAGTATTCACCGATACCCATTTATACACTCTGTGGTGGAGAGAGGCACTGTGAGAGTAAAGTGTCTTGCACAAGAACACAATGCAATGTCCCCAGCCAAGGGTTGAACCTGAACAGCCTGATCCGAAGACTAGCATGTTAACCATTAGAACACTGCACTTTATAACCCTTGATTGGGCATTCTTTTTGCACTACCAGGATTGTGCTATATTTAGGGGTATGTTGATGATTAGATTTTATTTGATATATGATGTGTCTTGGTAAAATTGGAGTTCGAGAACTAGTCTCTAAATCTTGAAAAGTTTGAATCAAGTGTTGGTCCTAAATAATTTTTAGTTACAATCGGCTGTCAGATTTACAATCTTGACACTGAAGCCATATGTCTCTAATTTGACAATTCAAATTGTTTTATTTATATATACAAAAAAGTCATATAAATGCTATTACCGGTATTATGTAATCAGCCAGACATACTTCTCATTTTGGACAAATTTGTTAAACTTTTAGATGCAAGAATGTGGACAACCACCAGCAGATCTTGTTGGAGAAATGGTAAGTTATATGTACCCTGTCACTCACTTTGAGATGGAAATAATTTTTAACCTCTCTCCCTCGAATGAGCCCTCCCCTCCCCCTCTGTTATGGACAAGTACTGAGACAACAAAGGATGTATAGTTTTGGCCGTGTTCAATCACAAGCGATTATCGACTCATTCAAGCACTGCACATTGGCCGTTACAAGAGATTGTGGTGAAGATCTGTTGATTCAATTGCCTAAAGCCCAAGTACCAACCTTGTGCAGCAGTCCTAGACTGGCTAAAGGGGTTATATTATGTAGTTCTTCAATAGGATCTTTCTGAGACTTCTGAGGGACTGACACATACATATATTACAAAATAACCAATCATATCTGACCACAATTTGAAGAAGATTAAATAAGCATTCCCCTTGATTAAGTGCCTCCCTTGAATAAGCACCCCCAGCTTCTCCTAAATTTGAAAGAAGCAACCGGGGCACTAATTTGAGGATTTACAGTATGTCTTTTTCAATTCCCTTCTTTTTTCTTAGCCACCAGGCTTCACTGCTCCTATTCCAGAGATGCCCGAAGCACCAGAATTACCTGATGAACTGAAAAACGAGTGCAAAGTTACGTAGCCTGATCAAGTCCCTAATTTCAAAAAGTGCAATATTGAGAGTGACAGTGGGAAATTATCCAAGTCACAGGCAATAGCTTTAAAATATGTTGCTGGCAGTTTTGGCAGCACTTAGCCATGCCTGCCTGTCTTGCTGGTTACACAGTCCACAGTCACTACCCACAAGGTCGACAAATACAGTTAATGGTTGACTTCTGAGTCAATACAATGCAAATTACTGACAAGCCATTATGGCACGGGATGCAGAATTATTGATTTTAAGGGTGTAAGATGTAAAAATTAGCGATTGTGATTACAAATATAACTGTCCAGTTCTTTCAAGATGTGCTATTAACATATAACTACCATTATTTAATAGTGGGAGGCGCGGTGGCCTCATGGTTAGTGCGCTTGTCTCCGGATCAAGCGGTCCGCGTTCGAGCCCTGGCCGGGGACATTGTGTTGTGTTCTTGGGCAAGACACTTTACTCTCACAGTGCCTCTCTTCACCCAGGTGTATAAATG